TTAAATTACCTTATTTGAACTGCGTGCATTTTATAATGATAATTTTGTTAAGTGGAGACTTTCTATACATTTATATTTTCTACAAGTGAATTATTTCACTGCCTTTATTGGATATTAAATCCATTCTCATGTCTTTCATCATTCTACAGACATTCTAGAGAGTTCTATTTGTGGTAAAGAAATCCAGTTTGTTATTTTATATCAAATCAAGACCTTATCTCTTAATTAGCGTTTATATTTGGTCTAGACTAGACACACGTCTGTTATAACTGGAATAATATAGTAACAACGCCTTTTAAGTACGTACAGGAATCTTAACTAATTAAATGTATCGAGATAAATATAAATATTGTTTTTTTTTTTAATGTAGACAACTTGACTCGTGCCGAGAACAGATTTTCCAAATGTCATTTTGTATTGTGTAGGACAACAGTTTACTGAAATATTAGGCTTCACTTTTTTGCATTGTATAAGGTATATAGGTGATATATCGACCGGCCGACTACTGAAACGCCCTTAAAATATTTAACAGCGTCTTTAATGATAAAACCAAGCTTAATTTAAAACTTCTTTACAAATTTTGACGTTAATCAGATTGTAAGAGCGCACACCTTTGACAATACTATCGCACTATTGTTTAGACTCGCTTTGATTCCTTTGAGTATACATGGAGGTGCACACTACTCGATTATTAATTGTGCAATTAAACAATTAACAGTGGTAGAGCCCGCTTTAACATCTTCGCAGGAATGGGCCGGCTCGCCCCCAGCAATACCACGACCACACAGAAGACTGGCGTGAAGTCGATCAATTCCGCGTTTCGTTTGATGAGTGTGGTGCCGGCGGCCTAAGTCCCTTTCCCTTTCCACCCTTTTCTTAATACGAAAGGATAGGAAAAGTGGATTTGTCGGTGGAGGAGACGCATAGAAAGAGGAAATATCCTCTTTATGTGTGTCTCCTCCGCAATTAAGGGTCGGCAACACATCTGCAATTGCGAATGTTTATGTGCAGCGGTCGCCTTCCATTTCGGTGGATTCAGGTGGCCGCTTGCTCGTTTGCTACCTTATATTATATAAAAAAAAAATTGAATTGGCAGTGAAACAATCGACAATCGTACAACATTGGCGTTCATTTAGTTAAAGGTGTGCGCGCGCTCTAAGCGTCGCTTACAAAGCGAAAGTTTTAGGATTCGTTTCAGTATATGGCCGTATGTGTTCAACATAAGGTCGCTAATCCAGTCCTGTCAATATTGATAGATTTGTATGCGATTGTTTAGGTAAGAACAGATGTAGGTCACCGAGTGTTGATTGGTCAGTGTGCGGTAAGCTCTGACCAATCACTTGTTACATTTGTTTTTTGTAACCAGTGCTTGTTATGAAGGTTAATTGTAAATGTGTATAGTGCACCTCACATATCTGGCCCAGTGAGCGCTGCCTAGCTTGTGAGACATCAATAGTAACAATTCGACATTGATATTCGTAGGAAAAGCTGTGCTTTAGAAATGCTCGGAAAGCTTTCTACCTTGTCGTAATCTTACTTCTTACTAAAATATTATAAATGTGAAAGTTTAGACGGATGGATTTTTGTTACAGTTTATAGCCTAAACTGCTGAACGGATCTCGATGAAATTTGGCATAGATGTTGAGTACAGTCTGGAAGAACACATAGGCTACTTAGTTTTTTTTTAATTCAACGCGGACGGAGTCGAGGGCGAAAGCTAGTTTTATATAATTTTACTTCTTACTAATATTTAAAATAGAGTTTATAGCCTAAACTGCTGCACATGTCTCAATGAAATTTAGCACAGATGTAGAAGGTTCTCTGGAAAGTCAAATAGGCTACTTACTGAGTTTTTATATTCCATAAAGACGGAGTCGCAAGCTAGTAAAACTATATACTTAATGTATATGTTACTAGCTGCACGCGTCTCTGTCCGCTCATATTTAAAAAAGCACAAGTAAAATATGTCTATGTGTTCTTTTTTTTTATAACAAAAGGTGGCAAACGAGCAAGCGGCCACCTGAATCCGCCAAAATGGCGAAGCGACCGCTGCCCATAGACATCCGCAATTACAAATGCGTTGCCTGCCCTTATCCGGCAGAGAAGGAGATGCACATAAAGAGGATATTTCCCCTACCTATGCATCTCCTCCTCTGTCAAATCCACTTTCCCTTCCCATTCTCTCCTTATAAGAAAAGAGCGGTAAAGAAAAAGGGACTTAAATTAGGCCTCCGGCACCACACTCATCAGACGAAACACGGAATTGCTTCCACTTCACGCCTGTCTTCTGTGTGGTCGTGGTATTACACCGGGCGTTCCGGCCCATTCGTGCTAAGATGTTAAAGCGGGCACTACCACTGTCAAGATTATGTTTTACATCTGTGCCAAATTTCATCGAGATCTGTTAACCAATAGACTAGTGCTTCAATAACTAGTTGAACCATTTATCATACTAGTTAAATAGTTTCCCAGCGGGAAGGCGATGAATATATTAATAATTGTCCGTTGTATATGATTGTAACACAAAAGGTTGCACTGCAGTGAGCACGCGTCGAAACTCCGCGGGGAACCTTTGTAATAATAAACCATAAAGATTAATTAAACTAACAAATAATTTCATGCTGAATATCACTTGTAATTTAGTAGACAGAAACATCAATCAAGAAAATAATAAAAAAAATCATTGCATATGCAATTTAAATCGTTGTGTAACAGGCCGATATCGGCCTGCCGCGGTACTTAAGCTGATGCGGACGAGAAAACTATGTCCATCTCGCTAGTGCAAAACTATACTCAGGTGTACACATTACATAAAATGTATACATTATGTTTCCACAAAGGTATAGCAATTTAATCTATCCTAGTGCTGGTGGGTCTAAA